TTTTACCAGTATATCCTGTTGTTGATTTAGAATACAATAGTTTTTACCAGTATATCCTGTTGTTGATTTAGAATACAACAGTTTTTACCAGTATATCCCGTTGTTGATTTACAATACAATAGTTTTTACCAGTATATCCTGTTGTTGATTTAGAATACGATAGTTTTTCCAGTATATCATTGTTGTTGATTTAGAATACAACAGTTTTTACCAGTATATCCTGTTGTTGTTTTAGAATACACCAGTTTTTACCAGTATATCCCGTTGTTGATTTAGAACACAATAGTTTTTACCAGTATATCCTGTTGTTGATTTAGAATACAACAGGTTTTACCAGTATATCCTGTTGTTGATTTAGAATACAATAGTTTTTACAAGTATATCCAGTTGTTGATTTAGAATACAATAGTTTTTACCAGTATATCCTGATGTTGATTTAGAATACAACAGTTTTTACCAGTATATCCTGTTGTTGATTTAGAATACAACAGTTTTTACCAGTATATCCCGTTGTTGATTTAGAATACAACAGTTTTTACCAGTATATCCTGTTGTTGATTTAGAATACAACAGTTTTTACCAGTATATCCTGTTGTTGTTTTAGAATACACCTAAATCAACAACAGGATATACTGGTAAAACTATTGTGTTCTAAATCAACAACAGGATATACTGGTAAAAACTGTTGTATTCTAAAACAACAACAGGATATACTGGTAAAAACTGTTGTATTCTAAATCAACAACGGGATATACTGGTAAAAACTATTGTATTGTAAATCAACAACAGGATATACTGGTAAAAACTGAACACAATAGTTTTTACCAGTATATCCTGTTGTTGATTTACAATACAATAGTTTTTACCAGTATATCCCGTTGTTGATTTAGAATACAATATTTTTTATCAGTATATCCTGTTGTTGTTTTAGAATACAACAGTTTTTACCAGTATATCCCGTTGTTGATTTAGAATACAACAGTTTTTACCAGTATATCCTGTTGTTGTTTTAGAATACAACAGTTTTTACCAGTATATCCTCTACATCTACACTATATATGCAGATATAATGTCGTTTGAGTCATCAAATCTTTCAAAGTTATATACCTACATATTTCCTGTTTAATTTCCACAAACTATTGCTGAAATAGTATGATTATTATGAGGTTCTAAGTATTTACATTAAATGATTTTATTGTTGTTATCAAAGAGGATCCAGAACCACCGCCAACACCACTTCAAGACAGAGTTGAAGATACATTCATAGCCATGACGTCGTTACCGCCATCTAGTGTGCGAGATGATAATTACCAGTATATCGGTATGCGGTTAGAATCGGTCGTTCAGGACATGTTTAAATACATCGAGGTAAAAATCTGAAAATAAACTTTTAATATTAGCGTAAATATTATTATTAATAATTAAATATTTTTTTTGTCGTTTTACCTTTTCCATAAAGTTTCGCGTTAAGATATGGAACATACGATGACATCATAAAACTTTTCATGTACGTTGGTATTTGACCTTTTGTAACATCTTATACTGTTGACTGTAGGGTATGATGTAGGATACTGACAATGTTGACTTTTGTAACATCTTTTACTGTTGACTGTAGGGTATGATGTAGGATACTGACAATGTTGACTTTTGTAACATCTTTTACTGTTGACTGTAGGACATGATGTAGGATACTGACAGTGTTGACTTTTGCAACATCTTTTACTGTTGACTGTAGGACATGATGTAGGATACTGACAGTGTTGACTTTTGTAATATCTGATATACTTTACTGTAGGATATGATGTAGGATACTGACAATGTTGACCTGTGTAACCTCTTATACTGTTGACTATAGGGTATGATGTAGGATACTGACTGTTATTTTCTAGTTATCTAGTTATTTTAATAACGATGATATTGTGTGATATTTTCGCAATGCTTATATATATATAATATGTTTATGGCTGAATTTTATCTTTAACAAATAGGTTTATATATTATTTGTATTGCATTATTCTATTTTTTCAGCCGTGTTTATAAATTCATAACTTTTTTATCCGCTAGACGTCGCTTTTGTGTTATTCATTTCTTTCGTTCGATATAAATTGTGTGCGTGTGTTCGTTTTGTGGTAGGTTAGTTGTAAATTACTAATGATAGTTAATAACCAAGTACCAATTCACCATTTCTTCTGTTTCTTCACCTCCTTTCTGACGTTCCGGCTGGTTTTTTTGTTGGTTGCAGAACAAGATTGCCACAGAAGAATATGGATACGATCATGGTCAAAAGTTGAGTAGCTATGATGGTGAGTAGTTTATTGTAATTCTTTGAAAAGATGTGTTAATCATAGACACTTTCTCTATTTTACAAAGCAAATAAAGCATCAAGCTGGCGTGTATGAATACACGTGGAATATCTGTTTGTGAGGAACGTGGAGCTCCTAATTAACGTGATGAATAAAACCACTCCTTGTGGAACATATGTAACACAGAATCTTGAATCTGTATATTGATATTTAATCCTTTACAGATTCCTTAATGTATTCAAGATGAATAGCAAGCACAAGAATGTCAGATGACATACACTCACGATATGTTAGATATTTACTCAGATGACATACACTCACGATATGTTAGATATTTAGTCAGATGACATACACGCACGATATGTTAGATATTTACTCAGATGACATACACTCACGATATGTTAGATATTTAGTCAGATGACATACACGCACGATATGTTAGATATTTAGTCGGATGACATACACTCACGATATGTTAGATATTTACTCAGATGACATACACTCACGATATGTTAGATATTTAGTCAGATGACATACACTCAAGATAAGTTAGATATTTACTCAGATGACATACACGCACGATATGTTAGATATTTAGTCAGATGACATACACTCACGATAAGTTAGATATTTAGTCAGATGACGTACACTCTGGATATGTTAGATATTTAGTCAGATGACATACACTCACGATAAGTTAGATATTTAGTCAGATGACATACACTCTGGATATGTTAGATATTTAGTCAGATGACATACACTCTGGATATGTTAGATATTTAGTCAGATGACGTACACTCACGATATGTTAGATATTTACTCAGATGACATACACTCACTATATGTTAGATATTTAGTCAGATGACATACACTCACGATATGTTAGATATTTAGTCAGATGACATACACTTACGATATGTTAGATATTTACTCAGATGACATACACTCACGATATGTTAGATATTTACTCAGATGACATACACTCACGATATATTAGATATTTAGTCAGATGACATACACTCTGGATATATTAGATATTTACTCAGATGACATACACTCACTATATGTTAGATATTTAGTCAGATGACATACACTCAAGATACGTTAGATATTTAGTTAGATGACATACACTCACGATATGTTAGATATTTACTCAGATGGCATACACTCACGATGTGTTAGATATTTACTCAGATGACATACAGTCACGATATGTTAGATATTTAGTCAGATGACATACACTCCCGATAAGTTAGATATTTACTCAGATGACATACACTCACGATGTGTTAGATATTTACTCAGATGACATACAGTCACGATATGTTAGATATTTAGTCAGATGACATACACACGATAAATTAGATATTTACTCAGATGACATACACTCAAGATACGTTAGATATTTAGTCAGATGACATACACTCACGATATGTTAGATATTTACTCAGATGGCATACACTCACGATGTGTTAGATATTTAGTCAGATGACATACACTCACGATAAGTTAGATATTTAGTCAGATGACATACACTCACTATAAGTTAGATATTTAGTCAGATGACAGACACTCACAATATGTTATTTAGATGTTAGATATTTACTCAGATGACATACACTCACAATATGTTACATATTTAGTCAGATGACATACACTCACGATATGTTAGATATTTAGTCAGATGACGTACACTCACGATAAGCTAGATATTTAGTCAGATGACATACACTCATGATAAGTTATATATTTAGTCAGATGACATACACTAACGATATGTTAGATATTTAGTCAGATGACATACACTAACGATATGTTAGATATTTACTCAGATGACACACAAGCACTATATGTTAGATATCTAATCAGATGACATACACTCACGATAAGTTAGATATTTAGTTAATTTATTCTGTCAAAGCGTGGTTCTAAAGTAATTGAATCAGCCTGGTTACACTTTGACAAAGGGAACAGAGGATATTCAGAAGAAAGAAAGCCAGACGAATTACGGTAACTCGCGCCACAATTGTAAGTGAATCACACACAGAATAATAGTGCGATAGTAAAATAGAAGATAGTTCGGCTTGTCAACTGAAATTTTAATGTAATTGAATAGGCCTAAGTGGACTTTTGACAACAAGAAGAGAACTATATATATATATATATATATATAATATCTATAGTGTAAATACGTTTAACTTGTTCCGAATATATATATATTATTTTGAAAACAAATGAGGCGCGTGCTGTTCATTTATCGTCAACAAGTCACAGACACTTACTGTAGAAGAATCCTAAGCCCAACAACAACATATTTATACGATTAAGAAGTCTAAGTAAAGTAATTTATTTTGACAGTTGGCGAAAAATAAAATAAATATGTTTTAAATTCTGACACTCAAATGAACGGGTAAGTATAACCAAATACAATGTTTATTTATCGTGCATATGAAGGACTGGAGTTTAAGTACTTGATTTCAAATTGTAAATATTAAGAAAGAACACTGTACCTAGAGGAAGACAGTATTTATATATAATATTGTGTGTAAGTAAGTAAGTAAGTGACTTTTCCAGACAAGTGTACACAAAAATATGACGAACCTAATAACTCTAATTCTTTCACAAAATTCTTCTGTCTGTGGTCCTAATGATTCCTTTCTTGTACCGAAAAGGATACTATCACACACACACACACACACATATATATATATAACGGACGATGCGCTACTTTGCGCATATAATTAGATTTTTGGGTAGGTTAGTAGAGATCCTGATGAACAATAAAATTTAATTGGGTATACACGAGCTCCACGCCTTGTATTGCTGGCGCACAAAAGTATAGATAAAAATGGAAAAAGGTCTCGTAGATTAATTTACCCTAATCTTGCCTAAAAGAATTTCAAGTTCCGCGGCTATTGAGGATTCCCTCTTGTTTCAAGTACAAACTTTTAGCTCATAGCTCCATATCTTGACGGACTATAGATCTAATTACAGCCGCGACTATTGGGGATTCCCTCTTGTTTTAATTTTAACAAACTCAGTTTTTGTATTTTTGACTTTCTTGTTTCAATACTTTTTGTGGCATTAAAACCTGCTATAGTATTATAGCTAGCTAGGTTACTTATATATCGATCCCTACTTGTCTTTATTAAATATAATTTCTTTGTTATACTTTTATATCTAGTATAGTGTGGGGATATGCTGCTGATGGAAGAGGCCTGATAATGAAATCAGACTTCTTGTGTGATGTATGGGTTAATGGTCAATATATACTTATGTAGTTGCACAAAAAGTTTCAATGTTACTTGTTACGCATAGCAAGAGCAATGTTTTATGTACATAAATTCAGTTTGGCATTTAACGAATAATAATTAATTGTAAAAAAAAATTATAGCAAATGTAAAAAGATAAACATTTACGAAGAACTCCAAGTTTACTAGGAAAGCGTTAAGTTTGACTCCTGTTGACTCTGTTCTTTCTTCCGTCTTTATATGTGTTCTTAATTGCAGGAGATAAAGACAACCGCCTCGTATTTCTGTTGGAGAGTCTCCCAGCTGTTGTCCATCCTGTCATCCTGTTACGGCTCTGCCAACATCGTGTCTTAGGCAGTTCCCTTTCTTCCCGGGGCAGAAGAGCGTCTTCTCGCTCGAGCATGGGCTCTAGAGAAAATCGTAGTCGGGCCAGTTCAGAAGGGACCGAGGAAGGGCTGCGCGTTCGTAGGAAAGTCAACTTGACCATTGACTGTTCCTCGACTTCTCTTTCCCCTTCCAGACTGGACATCACAAGAAGGGAGTCGGTCCAAAGTAATCTGATTGCCCCCAGGCTACTGCGGAGAGAACCGATGTATACGGTGCTGACAAATTCGGCAGATAAGCACACAGATAAAGAAACACCAATCCCATCTCCAACTCACCAGCGTAATCAGAGTTTTCACCTTTCAAGCCTGAAAAGAAAGAAGTCCAAAGTCCACTCGGCGACCTTTTCTGCTTCCCAGCCGGACACGAGCGAGGCCGATATAATGGCCTTCCAGCGGGAGCTACAAAATCTTCCGAACTTTGATCTTGAGGTATGAAGAAGAGGTTCCAACGTAAAAACTTAAAATCTGCTAAGTTGTGTGTTGTTTTTGTTTTTTTTCAATTACGTGTGATTTACTTCAATACAAGAATCTTATTTAATCTGACTGTAGTTAAACAAATACTTAAAATTTCTAGTGGTTTGTTTTTGAATTTCGCGCAAAGCTGCACGAGGGCTATCTGCACTAGCCGTCTCTAATTTAACAGTGTAAGGCTAGAGGGAAGGCAGCTAGTCAACACCACCCACCGCCAACTCTTGGGCTACTCTTTTACCTACAAATAGTGGGATTGACCGTCACATTATAACGCCCCCACGGCTGAGAGGGCGAGCATGTTAGGTGGGATGGAATTTCCAGTGGAGTAAATATAATAAAACTCGTGAAGCTAGCTAGCTCTGTAAAGTACCATTTCATTGCAATAACATTACTAATCTATAAGGCAACAAAGAAGGGGGTGGGTTGTAACTCGTCAAAATAATAAAACTCGTGAAGCTAGCTAGCTCTGTAAAGTATCATTTCATTGTAATAACATTACTAATCTATAAGGCAACAAAGAAGGGGTGGGGTGTAACTCGTCAAAATAATAAAACTCGTGAAGCTAGCTAGCTCTGTAAAGTATCATGTCATTGTAATAGCATTACTAATATATAAGGCAACAAAGAAGGGGTGGGGTGGGGTGTAACTCGTCAAAATAATAAAACTCGTGAAGCTAGCTAGCTCTGTAAAGTATCATGTCATTGTAATAGCATTACTAATATATAAGGCAACAAAGAAGGGGTGGGGTGGGGTGTAACTCGTCAAAATAATAAAACTCG